AAAAAAAAAAAAAAAAAAAAACAGAAAGAAAAAAGAGAAATTAGAATAGTCAAATATTGACTAAGGAAATGGAATCCATTACTAAAATTCCACACTAGGAAAATCCCAAGACTAGATGGTTTTACCTGTAAATTCTTCCAAATATTTAGTGAAGAAATAATACCAATATTGCACAAACTTTTACAAGAGAAGGCAGATCAAGAAGAAATACTTCCTAACTCTGTTGGCCTGCATAACCTGCCAATGACCTTATAAAAAAGGAAAATTAAATCAAATTCTCTCTCTTTTTTAAATAGAAATGTAAAAATCCTTAACAAAATATTAGAAAACTGAAACCAACAAAAATTTAAAAGGTAATATATCTGAACCAAGTGAGATTTATTTCACAGATATAAGAGTAATTTAATGTTCAAAAATTGATCAATATATTTCATCACAATAACGCATATAAAGATGAAAATTATATGAGCATCTCAAAGTATACAGAAAATATTTTTTTAATTAAATATTTATTCATACCCAGCACACTTAGCAAGCTAGGAATAAAGGAGAACTTCTTTAATGTGAAAAAGAATGCCTACCAATCCAGAAAAGAAAAGAAAAAACTACCATGAACATCTTGCTCAATAATAACACTGAAAACTTTCCCCCTGAGAGAAGGAACAAGACAGGGATACCCATTATCACTACTTATATTCAATATTATACTGGATGGCCTAACCAGTGTAATAGGGCAAGAAAAATAATAATAAAAGCCATAAAGATAGAACAAAAGAAAAAATAAAACTGTGATTTTTCATAAATGATATGGTTGTATAGATTCTAAAAATCTGTGAATCTACAAATTATTAAATCAATAAATGAATTTAATAAGATTGACATATACAAGATCAATGTACAAAAAGCAGTTGTATTTTCATATATAAGCAACAATTTAAAAAAATATATGGTTAACAATAGCACCAAAAAACATCAAATACCTAGGAATAAATCCAACAATAGATGTGTAAGACATCCACACTTAAAACCAAAAGTTGCTATAGACAGAAGGAAGTCTTAAACAAATGGAGGGACATGCCATGTTTGTAGATTTGAAAATTAAATGCTGTAAAGATGGCAGTTTTTTCCAAATTAAGCTGTAAATTTAAAGTCATAAACGAAAATTGTAGCAGGTTTTTTCCTGCTGAAACTTACAAACTGATTGTAAAATTCACATAAATCAAAAATAGCAACAATAAAAAATAGCCAGAGAAATCCTGAAGAACAATAAAACTGGAAGACTAATACTACAGGTGCCAAGACCTATTATAAAGCTATACTAGTTAAGACAGTGTAGTGTTGGCCAAA